TGGATTGCTGGATTCGCGTAGAGCTTCCCAAGACTGCGCTGCGAAGCGCTCCTCGCGGGCCGACTTCGGTTCAGCGCTCTTTGGACGCGAGACGTCGTCACTGACTGCATTCACTTCGAGCGACTCCGAATCGGCGTCGGTGATCAGGCAAATCTGTTCGATTTCATCGGCCTTGAGGCCGCGAAGAAAGTTCTTCCAGGAGAGACCTGGAAGTCGAGTGATCGACCCTGCCTCGCCAGGCGGGTTTGCAAGCTCGAGTGTTCGTCGGCGGCAGAGGTACCTTCCACATACTCAAGCACGCAGACCGACTCCGTCGGTGAGCTGTCACTTGGACGGGCTCTCGGCGAGGTTTCAGCCGACGCCGCTTCGACTTCCTCTTTCGCCGCCTCGAGTGCGAATTCGAGGATGATGAGTCGCTCTCGCTGGACGAGATGTCACCCCCCTCTAGCGGGAGCCCCTGCTCGACCGCGATAGTGTTCAGCGGGAGCGCCAACTGCTCGACCACCGGCTCAATTGACGGGAGCCCCTGCTCGACCGCCATCTCGTTCGTCTGCGGGAGCCCCTGCTCGACCGCCATCTCATTCGTCTGCGGGGGCCCCTGCTCGACCGCCATCTCGTTCGTCTGCGGGAGCCCCTGCTCGACCGCCAGTTGGTCTTCATCCCCGCGTCGCCGCGGGGACTCGTCAGTTAACAGTACTGCGCAAGCCGTGCAGAGAGGGCCATCGCTCCCTCTGTGCACAACGTGCGTCGTGGATGACCGGTCCCCGACGGTGACGTGAGGCCAATCCTTCTGGGCGACCAGGAGGTGCGTGAACACCTCGCTCACATCATAATCACTGCGGCGCTTGACCGACCGGGCCAACCAGTCAATCTCTGGTTGATTGCGCGTCAGCCACGGCATACCCAGGATGCAGTCAAACGCGTAATTCATCTCAATGACGAGGAAGTCGTCGTTGCTTCGGAAACCGTCGAACGTGTACGGAAGTGTAATCTCGCGCCGCGCGACTCGGCGTGATTTCCCATCGGCCAACTTGACAGCGACCTCCCCTCTACCTTTGCGGGCAGTGATGTCCGACGGGAGTACCGACAAGCACGACGCGCGGAAGAAGTTGTTGGTCGCTCCTGAATCAAGGAGCGCTCGCAGTGGTCGCCGGGCACCGGCGACATGAAGACTGACAATGATCAATCTTGAATCGCTCGGCGTGGTGGTGGCATGAAAGTGTGCATGCAGCACAGGAGGGCTAGGAGGTTGGGTTGCCACCGGGGGACACGGACCTCCATTCCAGCCAGTAGGGCGCCCCGCACCTACTGACCCTGACCGTTTTTTTGGCTGGTCAGAACTCACGGGCTCGGCATCGACATGCGCAAGCACTGGAGCTGGCGCGCGGCACTCCGCCGCGCGATGACCGACCTTGCGACAGCGGAAGCAGGTGAGAGAACGATTGTTCCGACCACCGCTCCGACGCGCTACATGACGCTGACGAGTGCTCGTCGCATCGATAGCGTCGATGTCCATGGGCTCGGGCGCAGAATCCCGAGCTGAAGCAGGTAACGCGTGAGCGTATGACGCCGCAACCACGTAGTCCTCGCGTAGGGCGAGGGCGAACGCCTCTTCGAGCGTAGAGGGGTCCGATCTTGTAAGGCAGTAGCGCGTCATGCCTTCGCGCATACCGAACACGAATACATGAACCTGAGAGGCCATATCGATCGGCTTAGACATGATGCACGACGCGAGGTGTCGTGTCTTCTGGACGTAGTCGCGCATAATCATCGTGCCTTGCCGAAGGGCGAAGAAGTCTGCCCGAATTCGGGATTCATCTTGCGGCGGCTCGAACGCGAGCCGAAGGTCACTCTGGAGGGTATCCAGAGTGGGGAAGACGTTGGGATCGACAACCAACTTGCCGAGAGCCCATTCCTTGGTTTTCCCAGACAACCGCGAGAGGAGAAAATGGACCTTCGCGGAAGGCGCCTCGATCAACCTCGAGGCGATGGCGATGTCAATCTCTTGAAACCAGCGATTCAGCGGAAGTCGATCTTCTCCGGCACCGGAGTAGGTGGACGTCTCTAGTTTCACGACGTCATTCGTGGAGATACGCGAGGGAGTTGACAATCGCCGATTCGCATCGGCGAGCTCGCGTTCCATGAATTCTTGTGCCGCAACGCGCTGCTCGTCGGGCGTCGCTGAGCGCAGCAGCGACGTGACGACGGCTTCTCCGGACACCGCCGCGAGGCGGTGGAGAGCTTCCCACTCGATCCGAGTGAGATGGAATAAGGCAGCGTGGTCGAGGTCTTGGCTCATGTCGAACTTGGTCGTTGGAAGGACTACAAAGTGCTACCAGGTGTAACGGGCCAGGTATTTACTCCGTTACTTGCCTTTACTATAGTATTGAGGAAGCTCGCAATAGGACGACTGAGTCTTAGGTTTAAGGAATAATCAACTCTGACTTTATTTTAGGACCAAGGCCACAGCCCTGGCCACTCAAATACACGTCATAGTCCAATTGGCTAATAATGGGTCTGGATACCCATATATCAGCCAATGGCATGACAGCATTTCAGCACACGCTAGTCGTGTGCTGATGCACCTACTTATGTAAAGAAATCTACCTACTTATGTAATGGAGGGGCCCATTACAAGAAGCACACACCGCAGCCTCCAAGTTGTCGACGAACAACTGTTCTTTCTGAACAAGGGCTCGTTCATAGATGCCCCTAGAAGTGTGGCCGCCCACATGGTCACGAGGAGCGACGAGAAGCTCTAAAAAGAGGTCAGCCCCAGATCTCTCCTCGGGAGGCCAATACCCTCTTGAGTTGATGGCAGCTCCCTGGCTGACGGGTGCCGCCCCCGAACCCCCACGCACACGCTGGGCAGCTTGGAATTCCTCCTGCTGCTGGTCGAGGTCATTCGAGACCTCCCGGGGCTCAACGATAGCACCCTCCTCCTCTTCTTCTTCCTCCTTCTCCTCCTCTTCATCCGAGGAGTCGAAGATACTCTGATAGGAGCGTCGAGTCTCCTTCTCCTCGCGGAGTGGAGACTTAGAGGCTGTACGCTTCTTTGAGGGCTTGGCGCCTTCGGCTTTAGAGGCCTTAGCACGCGCAAGACCCTCGGCAAGCAAGAGACGTTTGCGAGGATTCTCTTCCTCATCGCCACCGGCTTTGGGAGCGCCCTGAGCCTTGGCGGCCGGACTCTCAGAGCGCACAGAAGTCCTGGGGCTGTGATCACCTTGATCACTAGCGAGCGACTGCACGCTGTCATCTTTGTGCTCACTGGGCACTGGGCTGTGCCCTCCCGCAGAGCCCGCAGGAGCATCGTGAGTGCTCTCGGACTCGGCATCGTCCTCACTGCCCGAGTTGAACTCACGTTCCACGAACCGAGGGCTCGGACGATTGTCTGAAGATGAGGGCGACGGACTGCGGCGCTTGCTTGCGCGCTTGTCCACAGCCGCGTCACCCGAGGAACCGATCGCCTCGGAGGCCACCTGAGTAGCCTCCTTGAGTGCAGAGCCTTTGCCGTGAGGCTTAGTGCTCTTGGCTTGCGCCTTACCGGCAGCGGCCTTGGAGCGGGTCTTAGCACCGCTCTTTGCAGTGCCACGAGGCATGGTAACGGTCGAATTGGAGACCTAGACGAAGAGCGCACAGGTTGCTGCTCGAGGCTCTAACTGTGAAGTGAGCCTCCGCCGCGTTCGCGCGGCCAAGTCGATGGTTTCCGACTTTGAGAATGAGAGTTTGTGACGAACACCTCTTCATTCTGATTGGTCGGTAAACCGAACCTAAGTGGGGGAGGATGTAACGGGGTACGTAGCCCTAAGTGTACCCTGGTTACATGAAGTGTGACACTTCACACTTCAGGTGTATGACACGTCATACTCCAAGATATTTGGTACAAAGTACCAAGGTCGTTCAAAGCCAACCATTGGTCAAACGACATTGCATTTCTATAGGTAACTTGTAGTTTGTATTAAACCCAAGCTTAACCTACCTGTAAATATACTCAGTTTACAATCTACCTTACTTAGGTCACTTCGCTCTCTTTAAATAAAGAGGGGACCTGTGAGCTGCCGTTCACTGAGAGTTTGTATACTCTCGGAAGATAACTTCCTCTAGCGCAAGGTGCTGTGTGACCCCGTCACATCTGAACTCCCAAGGAATATTATAGTGGCCTCAGAGGCAATCAGCCCATCTGGTGACGCGGCTGTGAGCAAGCGTTCAAGCAAGCGCCGCCGTCCGTCGGTCTCTCCAGACGACCGACTCGATTCCAGTACTGATTTTCTAGGTTGGACCGACGATTTTATTAACCAGTCTAGGAGCTCCCAAGATGGTTTTTTGCGACCTCTCCAGTTGACCAAGTATCTGTATCTATCCTTTGATAGTGGTAAATGATCTAGATAGTCTTTGTTCAATATATTTTTCCTGAAGAAAATCTTTGTCTGACGTATCGAGCTTAACTCGTTTGAGATCGCTAGGCTATTTATAGAGGATGTGATCTAATATGAACTCGGTATCCATCCAATCCAACAACTGCATAAACTAGTTAGCGCCACTTAACCAATTCCTTATTGACACTTATCGTTTTGACTCTGTAAACGACTGGTTCTCCACTTGTGTATGCCGTATCAACCTCTTGTAATTGTTGATTATGTTCAATTTCAGATTGTATTACCGATCCCCACGCTTCGTTTAGTGTCATGCCAACAGCCCTGTGGAAGGAAGCGTTATAGTTAGCAGCTAGATCGGATATTACCGATTTGGTTAGCTGTCGCTGGGAGCGTATTATCCGCTGCTTGATCGCTTGATTGAGTCGTTCTATTTTACCCATTGTAGCATGTTCTCCTGGCTTGTTGCTGAAATGCTCGATGTTTCTATTTTTTGAAGTATGATTGAACTTTTAATTTCGTGATCACTCCCACTTTCGCTTGTGATAATTTTGGGTTGATGTTGCCTTACCAATTGTTTATACGTTTCAGCACTGTATCTATCTGCTTGTTGGAGGCTAGATCTACCTACTCCACTCGACTGTTAATATTGACTCCCGTTAGCAACGAGCGCGATTCCCATAAAGCTAAATCGATCTGAGTTATTACTAGCTATATGAAAATGATCGAATGGTTTCCTCTGATCTTGAATTTCTGAGTATCAGCATTGTTCGCTATCCATGCCTTAACATATATGAGTCGAATTGAGCTATCTATGAGCTTTGTTTTACCATTTAGAGCTTTGGCGGCTATGAAGCCGGTTTTTGGATCATAATAGAAATTTATTAGTAATCATCCGTCGCTATATCACATATAATTAAATATCGAGAGAGTGAGCATGCTGATTCCGTCTGACAGCACTTGATTTGCGAGACCGATTATAGCCATACATATGCAAGCTCGTCGGTGCAATCAATCTACATAATCTTGAGTATCGGTGTCATATATAAAAATCTTTCTTTGAGGTACTCACGTGTTCTGATATCGCATTCGAGAAAGCCGAATACCTTGTCAGATTTAATATCATCCATGACACCATAATAATCATCGACGGCTGCTGCAAACGCAAGGCATTATCAAGGCCTCAGAGATAGCGTTGGCGTCATACCCGATGATCTCCTTGAATGTTTTACCGCCTCCAATTGCTGTCGCCTTGCGCTTGGAAAATCGATTGAAAATGATGGATAGACCGCCGGCAATATTAGCCTCTCTCTTCGAATAGATATCATTTTCCTCTGAATCAATGGAATGGACAAATTTGCCGCTCTTGACTTCGAGGAGCTTCTGGTATTGGAATGCCTTTGGATTCATACTTTTGCGAGCACCATGGCACCTGCGGCATAACATCATGATGTTGCCATCGATGTGTCTGATCGTATAATCAAAATAATCACCTGGTACGTTCTCCGCGTCAAGCCTACCGAAGCAATGGATGCTTGTTTATTTTTGATCTTGACGAATCTTGCTGAGGTGATTGATCGTCAGCCCAAGCTTTCGTTTAGCAGTAACGTATTGGGTCTTATATCCATTGTATCGATCGGATGGAAACTGGAAGGCAGAACCTGTCGGGGTTTGGGTGTGATGATGCCCTTGAAGCATGTATGGTACATAAACGTTTCAGCTAAACCCGGGATCGAGACTCCATCTGAAAACATGTCTAACTCGAATCGTTTGAATAGCCCACGTTGAGCATTGACCATCACAAACGGCTTGACATCCGGTTATTGTACCAAATGAGTATCTATTTGATATAGCCCATAGTGCTTTCAAACGCCTTTTAACGCGCTCATAGGCATCTGGGTGCGTCGTATATCGCCATCAAAAGCGCTCTTAGGAGGTATTGCCGTCTAGTTGAGGGCGTCAAAAAATCGGGAAAGAGATTATTTTCAATACAAAAAAAGATTGAATTCAACACCTCTAAAAAAAGGATGCTTTTCAATAGCTAAAAGGTGGTATTGATGTACTCTGTCCCGTTTATTTATATTACAGCTGTGTGTGTTACAACATATTGCTATTTTTAGACATCCTGGTATGACACGAGACGGCGCATTCGCCAACAGACGCTGAACCGCAGTCATGAGCGACGATGGACAAGATCCAGAGGTCTCGCCGCCTGAGGGTGATTCTTCTAACGTCGCACATAGTTCATTCCGGTTTATCTCAACCCATTTTACAGAAGATGCTGCTGTTACTGCGCTACACAGTGTCGATACATCCGAATACAACCATCTACGTACGTATGGGCCGTCAGAACGTCGCAAGAGTGTCTACACTTGCATTTCGCATGAGGCGTGTTCTCGTCGGCTACGGATCGTTAAGATTTCAGAGTTCAACTCTTCTCATTCCATAACGACTTCTTCATACGAAGTAGAATCTAGGGGTACCCATAGCCAGTTGCTAACGCACCGAAAGAGGTCTGGAATTGACATGCAGATAAAACCAGAGGTGGATAGCATTCTTCAAGGTGGAGCAGGTCCAAAACGATGCGTACTTCTACTACAGAAGAAATATAAACTTGACCCAACCATGTTAGCCAAGATTCCAGACGAAATCAAACTGAAGAACAGAAAAGCCAGTCTGAAGAAGAAACTAAAAAAAACAATTGGGATATTTCAAGTTTTTCAGTTCTGATGGAGTGGGCCCACCCGCACATGTGTACTACGGCTGACAAGTTTTTCGGAAGCTTGGGGATTGATGGGTTTATTGATTTGGCGGCATTTACTCAACAAAGTCTCGACTTTCAGAATGATTACTCATATGAACACATTTGATCACAAGTTTGATGGTGACACCGGGAAAGAACTTCGTTTGGTGTTATTTTCACATCGCGACGTCTTTTTCGAAATCTGTACCGATGTATTTGTGATCAAAGAGAGACCGGTCTCGTTGGAGTTACCGATGGCACCTACCGCATCGATTTCAGTAAGTGCAAAATATTTATTACAGCTGCTAACCCATGTATATTATTCACGTTTATTAAAGATCGCTGGACTCTGGTAGCACTCGGCAGCTCTTGCTCTGTGTATGAAAGAAAACGTTACCGACATTCATTTGTACCTTGGATGTACATGTTTGTGCGTACGGAGCATGAATTTGCCTACAAAACGTTATTCTCTACAGCTAAGCGATTCGTCGCTGATTACTTCAACGATTCTTTGGTTTTGAAGTACGGAAGCCAAGATCATGCTTCCTACATTGCTACAGCTTTTTCCTCCATCTGGCCTGGTATCAAAATACTTAATTGTTATCCACACCTTTTCAGAAAAGCGTTCGAAAAAGCTGGCCTATTGAATGACTCTGGATTCTACAGTTCTTACGTCGAGATGAATATATACCTCCTCGAGCAAGCGCGTACCGAAGAACAATTTACGGCAATGGCTGAGCGTATAGTTAAATATTGGAGCGACAAAAACGAACAAGTGTACGCGGATTGGTTCAAAAGCCAGTATTTATGGGGTACATGGTTTGCTACTTCTGCTGTGCCTGGTGTTTTGCCGTCACAAAACCCCATCGAATCCCACAACAAAGTGATAAAAACGGTGTGCACTCCGCAGCTACATGCAGCGACCTCAGTCGTTTTGAATGACACCCTCCCAGCGATCCTTTTGCTGAACAGTGACAAAAAGACATCCCGATACGGTCATTTCTGCGAAGGTAATATTTAACTTTTTCATCATAATATGTTTGACTAAATTAAAAATTGTTTTAGGTCCTGTTCCCAGCGAAATGGTTGAACACGCACGAGTGTTTTTTCGTGAAAAAAATCATAGGAAGCAATACCTTATCTTGAATTCCCCAACAAAACTGAGCTCAATTGTTTTCAATGCTTGGGAATACGCTGTTTACCCTAAAAACCAGTGTGGAGTGGAAGTCACCGATGCCCGAGTCTCCAGGTTTTTTTTTTCATCATTTATCCAACTTAATATATCAGCATAACTTTCAATGTTTGTATGTCATACAGATATCTCGACTCGAAAAAAGGAAAACTACGGAAAAGGTCCAAAGTTCCTGATTTTAATCTCTATTTTGTTATTGCAACACTTGCCCTGATGAAGCAATATGACCTGCAAACAGCAACCGCTCACATGCCTGTTCGGAAACAGAGTGGGGGTCAGCGAAAAAAAACAAATTGTCTGAGCAAGGACGACTCTAGATACTTCGAAGTTGGAAAACTGGAAAAACAATTCGTTCAAAAACCATCCTTTCCAATTGGGTGGAACGTGACCAAACAACTTCCAGTTGAAGACACCGAAGAAAAAATCACGTTGAGAAATGTACCAGGCCGAGTTGTGGATTGGCAAGATTGTATTGGGCCAAGAGGTGTCTATAACTGGGCGGTTGAGTTCAACAATGGTGCTAGGGAATTGCTGGAAGTGGATCAATTGGCTGCGCTGATTAACAAGTGCCATCACGAAGGGCTAAACGTTACAGCGCGTCTTTTCTAGTCGAAGCGTGACTCACGACATCGTGGTGATACCCATAGTAGTTTTAATACCACATGCTTTGCATAATACATACAGAAGTATCGATTTCCATCCAATGGAAATTGTATTGAAAAGCATCCGATTTTGTATAGCAGATAAGCCGCACCCCAAAAAATCGATTTAGTCGTATATACTACTGAGCTGGCGGACATGTCGCCAACAGGGGCGTAGGATACGATTTCAATTGGAGCGGCAAGACAACAACACGACACAAGAGGTGTGAATTATTGTTGGTTAAGTAGACCCCATAAAGAAACGCTAATAAACTTGGAGCGTTTAACCATTCTGTAATTATCGTTAAACTATCAAATAAAAAGCACTACCGTCAACATCAAGCGTTTTACGGCACATTATTCAAATGATTTAATCGTAACTGACACAGAATTGAGTGTCTCATGACTCATTCTGAATCAGCACAAAATGAGCTGCATGCATAACAAATATTACAATTCGAATATTTTCAACAATCTTTAGTTACTTACAAGTTCAAATAGGCAGTATTGAGAGATCTACTCCGAATTTCTCCCGGCGATTGGTTCAATCAACCGCCAGCAAATCGCCGAGCCCAATATAAAGCCTTTTTAAATATGCTTCATGAAAGGTATTTGGTGCGTGCTCCCAACTAACGAAGCAATTCAAAAGCGCTCGTCTTCGTAGTCGGGGGCGGCAACCAACCCGGTGCAGGATGAAGCCAAGGCAACCTCGCTACGGCATCATCAAAAAGAGCACCTAGAAGGAGGACAACTACAAATCGCGCATCTCCATTTTCCATGCGTACCCCGACAAGAAGATCATTGCGGCTTACTCCTCCGGAGACACCTCAACTAGGAGCAGTTGTTTCTGCTTCTCCTCGACAACTGGAGAGCTCGCCAAGTCTGGATAGAAACCGTACTTCGATGGAGACGGCCGTATGCCATACCCCATCGCCTCCCAACACACAGCACGGCCGGCTCCGAAGATCGCCACAGTCGGCGTCATCCCCGAGCGAAGCTAATGAATCCCCAAGTGGTTCACATCAGCCGTCACAAACATCACCGGGTCGTTCGCTTCCTACACGTACGTCGCCGCGTCTCGCTGAACAGCCACCCCGCAGCGAAAACCGTCCAAGTAGAGATGAAGGCGCATAGCACATGGGGTCTCATCTCTCCCAGCTCGTCGTGCGACCAATTCTAAAGACAGCAGTCAGTCAATGTGACTTATCTAGAGAAACACTTGATGATTTTGCTGTAAATGAGTCATCCTTTCGAGATATGCTTCCCACGGTTTGAAAGCACTTAAACCCACGGGTGAAAGGTAGAGCGAGCAGAGCTAAGGATTCGTGGTCCGTGCTGCCCACTACAGTCGAGGAATAGATAGAGGTTTTGCAGCTCAAGGCTAAGCGGCACGTCGGGAACAGCGACAAATCGGATCGTGCATGGAACGTAATACGTGGCTTCACGCGACTCAAGGTAAAATGGTGAAGCTACTGGTGTTTGAGTACGGAATTGCCATCACCACCAACCAAGTCCGTTCGATATTTATGGCTACATGTATCAATCTTCTAGTTATAGATCGAGCTGACGCAGCCGTCGAGCGCTGTCTTCTTGAAGTGGTCGAACAACTACATACGAGCGATGGGAATCTGAGTATAATGCTCCGCACGTTGTGTGGAGGATGTGGGCGAATCCTCTAATGTCCAACCTCGATCGATAGACATGGGAACATGCCATAAATCGAGACCCACCCGCTGATATTCTTAAGTTGCTTCGTGCATCAGAATCGCGGCTTGCGCAACATTTAACCGATGTGACGCGTTTATCAAATCTTGCTCTCAACTGTATCGCTGCG